GGAACCCGTTCGGGGGAGGGATATTACGACACCCTGTCTTACACATCTCTACAGTTGGACTAGTTTTGTACTCTGGTTTTGTACTCGGATAGCCATCGTAGCCCTTAAACCATTCAACTAAAAATTATTACGAATAAACTAACTTCACAAAATAAAAATAAAAACATAATTTCTAAAATAATTTATTGTCAACCGTTCATTTAGTTCTAGTATTATAAAAAAAAACAAATCAGCTGCTATAATAACGCCTATTCTAATTGACTACAGGTCTGTCTATAGACAGTAAAATATTTTCTACTATATAAAAATTTATGTTTGTTAGTACTTTCTACGATGCCATACCGTTCATCAGATTGCGGTCAAACTTAGTCAACTTATTGGTTGCACTTGTGCGAAGGTTATACGCATGGTACAATTAACTGACACGAGGTGGCGTGCGTATTATACCGACTATTTATTTGAAAGTTAAAGAAAGTTATATATTATTCTAATTCAATGATTGTATTATCATTCCTAATTATACAATATAACTGTTCCACATATTTAATGACATTTCCACAATTATTTCTCCTGCGGCAGCTATGGCAGCCGGGTACGAGCTAGCAAGATAATATGAAAAAATATAAACTTTGAATTACATAGTCATCAGTTATTAATTCCTTTTCCTCACTGAATGGCTATATTTAGCCTTCAAGCGAGGAAACAACAAACTAAACAACTTCTTATTACCAGCAGCGATGATCAGTCGCAGATACAGTTTTTTAGGAAGTAAACCGCACGTGCACCCTACGGACCAATAGTCTCTACAGCAAATTGCACAAATATGTACTTATCTTCCAGATACTCTGGGCTATTTACTTGGTTCAGTTGCCTCTAATGCCACTCCTGCTTTAGACGAGGTACACCTGAGATGGGATGCTGTCAAAGTGTTCGCACGTAGTATCCCACACCAAAGCTTTATCTCTCTCTCTCTCTCTCTCTCTCAAGCAACCAAACCCATGCCGTCGGGTTTTCTGGTAACGTCTCTAAATATTCTACAAATATCTTAAACCGAGGAAACATTTATAGAGATACGAGCTGCACTACGGACTCCCCGAGCTTGATATGTAAATGGAGCCAGGGAAAAACGAGCACTTGGAAGCATCAAGTGGTGCAGCCTCACCAAAGTCGCGAAAGATAGTCAAGTGGCGCATCGCCAATCGCCATACCTACACTCCTCTTCCCTTACGACTCCACCTCGACTACAGCGGTCCAGGGAGAGGAATCTCCTCTAGTCGCAGCCCACTAACACACATCCAACGTGGCTCGACATCATCAGGCGATTTTTCGACACTTGGCCCTTGAGTTTGGTGGAAAATGAGGAAAGAAGAAATAAAAAAAACATCCGAAATAATAATCTATTTGTTCCAAACATGATAATTTTGTTTCGGACTATTCACAATATTTATGCTTTTAAGCCATAGTTTTAGTCTACGTTCGGTTGGAAACCTGTTAATTAATAAACATTTGATAATCATCCGTTGTTGGCGACTTTTTTTGTAAACACATGTGGGTAGGAAAGAACATCGATAAGTATTATAGGCAAGGAACTCGACGACCCTATTGAATTTTATTGTTTATCAAAACTCAGTAATATACACCCAAACATGTTGGTGTATATGATATTAAGATTAGTAACAAATTTTTGAGTACTTATATTATGAAATAGTTTTAATTTGTTTAATATTTGCTGCAAATTCACTTACTTGTGAAATGTTACAACACTTCCCTTTTGGTAACGAGTTTTACAGATTACGCACACTCTCATTATTAATAAAAATAAATCTTATTAGTAACTAATATTATACACAATCAAACAACATAAAATACTTTCGTTTTTTAGTTTAAAAGTTCAAAATACAGACTTATTAAATAAGAAAATATAATTAAAACAACAGACTTTGGCATATTATGTCAATTTTGTATGGTATAGCCTACGTTAGTACTCTTATTAGTTTGTGGTATAGCCAGTCCAGCGTACTTGTATATATAGAGGTCAGTGGGACTACCCTATTCCCCATTGCAATATTGCTGTAATAACAAATTAATATTTAACTAAACTAAGTGTTGCCATTATAGAAATAAGGATCATCAAGGATAGACGAAATCACTAAAAATTGATTAGAAGACAGTTCCATATAACACATTCATTGTGATAATAATCAAATAACCTAAATATTTCCTTATTAGTCCATGTCACCATGTTCGTGAAATAATTTTATTAAGCCGACATTACAGTCTACTCCAACGAGTAACTATGAACTGAACACTCAACGCCAACTGTGATCGCTGTTTGCGGCTTGCGTCAAATGTCTTTGATTTGTGTACGGAAAACCGACACTATAACCGGCTTGTCGGCGAGTGTTGGCCGCAGCTACACGATGTTCGCGAATAATTTGTAGAAATCGTATCGGACAAAAATTGGATGATTTCGGAATTTTTTACTTGAGAAATATTTATAATCTCAAGTAAAAAAATTGTCGGTTTATAACTTTATTTATAAAAAATAAAAAACTTTTTATGCCGCAAGAAAATAGAAAAATACTTTTTTCTTGTAAAATATTAATCTAAGAACATTGAAACCACTGCGAATCATTTGCAAATTAATTACCGATTCCATAAATATTGCCTTTATTGCGTTATTCGCTATAGATACTGAGTAATAAATAAATTATTTTTTCGTCAACTACTCTACACCTATTCGGACGGTTCGTGTACCATATTGTATAAATCGTATCGGAAAAAATTAGATAATTGGGGAATCATTAGAAATATTTGTAATCTCAAGTAAAAAAGTTGTCAGTTTATAACTTTATTTATAATAAATCAAAAACTTTTTACGCCGCGAGAAAGTAGAAAAATACGTTTTTCTTGCAAGATATTGATCTGAGAACATTGAAAGCACTGCGAATCGTTTGCAAGTTAATTTCCAATTCTGAAAATATTGCCTTTATTGCGTTATTCGCTATAGATACTGAGTAATAAATTAATTGTTTTTCAATTAATACAAATTATTCGCGAATATCGTGCACCTTAAAATAATTTCTATAAATCGTATCGAAAAAAATAAGATAATTGCGGAATCTTTGGAAATATTTGTAATTTCAAGTAAAAAACTTGTCAGTTTATAATTTTATTTATAAAAAATTAAAAACATTTTACGCCGCGCGAAAGTAGAAAAATACGTTTTCTTGTAAGATATTGATCTGAGAACATTGAAACCACTGCGAATCTTTTGCAAATTAATTACCAATTCTGTAAATATTGCCTTTATTGCGTTATTCGCTATATCTATAGCGAATAACGGGCATATTTGTTGTTGTAGTTGTTTTTTTTTCTCCACTACTTCGGGACTTATTAAAGTTAGAATAAGATTGCAAACCAATACTCCCTGAAGAGGCCGTTGTACCAGGAGACCATCGCTGCACTGTACACACTTCCGAATCCGCGATGCACTTGCACAAACACACTTATTATTTTTGTTCTTATAGTTGTTTTTTTCTCCAAACTCCGATGGTGAACTGAAGCTGACACTAGTAGTCGGACGAATCCTGACAAATTTTTAACTTGAGATTACAAATATTTCTAACGATCCCGCAATTATCAAATTTTTCTCACAAAAACAAAAAAAAATTAAATATAATTATCAAATATGTTCTCAGATCAATATCTTACAAGAAAAACTAATTTTCTACTTTCTCGCCTAAAGTTTTTGATTTATAAATAAAGTTATAAACTGATATTTTTTTACTTGAGATTTCGAATATTTCTAACGATTCCGCAATTATCTAATTTTTGAAGATCGTGCAGTATTGGCCGCAAAAGCCAAATACACACAAAACGGCCCAGTACACGTTGGCCTAACACACCCAGCCAGAGCGTTATGCCAACTAATGGTGGTTAATATAGCGCATAGCGCCATATTATAGCGCGCTATCTCTTCATAACGCATAGCGCGTGCTATGTAAGTAGTCGCCATGGCGCTATGACGCTATGACGCTTTGGCGCTATTCATATCAAACGGCAATTAGTTTTAGAAGCAGCGCTGTTGGGAGTAGACGTGTGACGCAAATTTAATCTAGCAGCACGCTATTCATCTCGCGCGAACTAATTTAGTGTTAGACGTTATTTAGTTAGTGTATACTGTATATTTATAAGTGATCGAAGGACATAGTTGTCTGCTACAAAAGAAGCCTAACTAATGTTAAATGTTAATAAAATATAGATACAAAAGTGTATATAATAGTGTTTGTAAAATAGTTGATTTTTGTATATACAATCAAAAACTTTTAAATACACCTTTGATTTATAATTTATATTTAGGTTAAAATAACGTTTACATCAATTATAATAAAAAATGATTAATTTTATTTTGTTTTAAAAAGTTCAGTCCTTAAAAATATTTTTAGGATTATAAAAAGTCGTAAGCCTGAAAAGTATGAAAGAGCGCTCTTTAATTTTTCTTTACCACTTTATTTTATTTTAATCTAAAATGCGACTTATACTAAACAATGTTCTTATATAGCACGCGGTCTATCCAATGAACGACATGTAATGTAGCATGCTCCGAGATATATCGTGCTGTTAAACTTAACGCGCTTGCCGGCCTACTACACACTTTTTTATAAATAGCGCGCTATAACATAGCGTATTTAATAGCGCGCTAGAAATTTCTGGTTTACAGTCTGTAGCGTGCTATTGATTTATAGTCGTTTTGAACAACTTTAATGCCAACCATAGAGGAAAGTAATATATCGTACAATGCCAACTCGTAGACAGTATTCTCTGTCTACGGGCCAATTTTTTTTACAAATTTATTTATCTACCTATGGTCTAATCGTCTATCTCTATGGTATATTTGCAGATTGCGCGCCGGTTGTGTTTGTGAAGTTTCCAAATAAAACCTAAAATATGTGAATCTAAATATTTAGTGTAAAGCCAGATTCTAGTCTTAATTGATAATGTCTTCTACTTTTGAAGACAGTTTCTTAGATTTTGACTTTAATTTTCTGCAACAAACACCTAAAAATGTTATGGTGAGTTGTAGGTTATTTGTGTAAGAAATTGTGGTAATGTGGAATAATGGTTAAATATGGATATAATTTCTTATTATTTCTATTTTAGTTCCTTATTTAGAAATGTTATATGTTAAGAATTACTTTTACAGCAAACTAGGGGTTACAATACATTTACATTTATCTATCATGTTTATTAAAATTATTTTGTGTTAAATTTACTCAGTAAACCAAATAATTCGCCTTCGTATAGTTTTTCTTTCTCTTATGATGCATGATAAAATTTACATTAATTTGAGCTTGCTTTTGTTTTCCTATCAAACTGAATATTGATTGGTAGAGAATTAATAAATTTAGAAACATTACCCATATGATACCAAATGACAAGAAACTTTTTTTAGGTCGAAAGTAAGATTGAAAAACAGCGTAAAGCTATACTGATTGCTAAAAAGAAAATTATCGCTACAGAGTAAGTTATAAATATGGTATTCTTTATGTTTATTTGATGTGGCTCAAATTAAGCCTTAAAATTTTGCCTTATTTTTAGCTCTCTTATAAAAAAATACTATGCTAAGAAAGAAACTTTGGATCAGACAGAGAAATATTTAATAGCTTCAAAAGAAGAATGTAAACAAGTTTGCATTGAGTATAACTCTGCATTGGAAAAATGCACTAGGTTGGAAAAAGTAAGTATTATGAGTTAAAGGTAAAAGGATAAGTCATAGTTTATTATAATATATATAAAAAAATTATGAGTCTGACAATATTATAATCCAATATTTAAATAAAAGTGGTAAATAGAGAATTTAAGTTTTACTAATAGTATAAGTTAAATTGTTTACTAATTATTAGAATTGAAATGGATATCCGGTAACTATCCGGCGATAAAACTGGCCAAATATCTGGTATCTGGGCAAACAGCTATCCATTTCATCACTACTAATTATTTGTATTTTGAAATTATTTATCTAGTACCAATGTGAAAATAAAAAAAAACATGTTCACTAGACATGTGTCATTCATGATATGAATGACGTAGTGACTAAATCATTCAAATATAGATTCATCATAAGAGCTGGGTCATTCATGTCGATCATTCAAATGGATCATTTCGAGTTTCAGTATTCTATGTTCTATGAAACTCGCTCGATAATGTAAGTCATTGGATATTACTATACTCTATTCATAGATGCTGTCAATTGTTTGATCTGCAATGTTTAAAAAATTCAATTATGATCATTAATACTTTGATGCAACCCAGTCAAGTGAACAAATCATTCACGATAGGCACTTGTCTAGTATGTGCCTATTACCTAGATGAGGAGCACTTTCCTCTCTTCTACAATTGTGTGCACTATCACTGCCACTACTAAACCCAACACTCTCACCTCTAGGCTTGTTAACATAAACCACTGTTGATAATATACTCTTTAGTGTTAGTTAACATATTTGATTTTTCCTGATGAGTAATATGAGAGATTGTTTAGAGGTAATATATGTTGTATTAGTGATAGTGGTGTTTGTTTCTAAGTGCAGTGGTATTGTTGGTTTTAATATTAGATTAAGCTTTGTTAATGGTTGCACGCAATTGTGGTAGGGAGGAAGATGCTCTTTAAACTAAGTAATATGTACCATTTTGTTTTTAACTAGACTAAATTAAACATGAAAATTATTTTTGATAAATCTTAATATATATAAATTACGTGTCACATTGTTTGTCTGCGATGGACTCTTAAACTACTTAACCAATTTTAATCAAATTTGCACACTGTGTGCAGATTGGTCCAACTTGAGAGATAGGATAGTTTTTTTGCCCTTGAGTGACCCACAATTATTTTTTTGCGAATTTAAGGGTTTTTTAATAGGACATGACAAAGGGTCGTCGAAAAGGGCAGAATAACGTCTGCCTGGCAAGCTAGTTTATAATCTATATTTAATTTAAAAATCTATTTATATTACTATTTAAGCTTTTTCCTCCCTATTGTAAGAGTGGTAGGAAAATGCAGTTAGATCCTGCTGCCTTATAGGGGTGGAAACTGAATGATCTAATGAAGTTTGCTTTTCAGATAATTTATGATCTATGCTTCGATCAACAATACCAACTAGATAACGGGTCACATACAAAATCATAGCTAAATACTGTCCGCATGAATATAAACTATGAAAAGACATAAATTAAATAACATTTAGTGTGAAATCAACCTTAAGTTATAACAAATAAAGTTCTTTTTCCCGTTATTGCCTTGCGAACAACACTCATGTGCAAGAGCTCACGTCTCATGTGCGCTCTTATTTACTGAGATGGGTTTCTTGCGCCGGCCCGACATCTAGTTGGTATTGTTGATCGAAGGATCTATGGGTCTTTGTCTGAGGAAATCTATGAAGATCAGCTGTTGACTTTTGATGGGCATTAATGAATGAATTTCTGCAAAATAAGAAATGATAAATATAGTTTTTTATAATTAAAATTTTTCATCTTGCTTTACAGGATACCCAACTGCTGTCTCATAAAAATCAGGAACTAGAAGAAAGGTTAAATTTCTCAGAGAACCAATGCAAGGCAATTCAGTCACATGCTTATCAACTTCAGGTGGTTTGATTATTACATTAAAATATTTATGCATATTTTATTTAAATCTATGTAAAATGTTTCCTAAGCAGTCAGGGGCACATTTTTCGCTTTAAATGATTGAAGTATTCCAATCAAACTCTAAGATCACATTGTAGTTGAAAAAGTATTAAGAGATATTAGCTATTATAGCATGTGCGTATATTGTGTATATGTAATACGAATGCTGATCCCAGGAATGAAGTCCCAGGTTCTAATACTGAGTCGGGCCAAAAAAATCAGTTATTGAGTTTTTCCATCTTCAAGAATCAAGAAATTCCCAGTAGCGACCCAGAGTCAGGAAGTTGTTGGTGTCTCACCTCCGTGCCCCGGAAAGCACATAAAGCTGTTGGTCCTGCACCTGATCTCTCTCTGGTTTGTCGGCTTACCGTCTCCTTAGACTATGAGAGTGAGGGAATAGAGAGTGCACCTTTGCTTGTGCATACACATGAACACTATAGTCCTGTCTTGCGCCCATGGCTGGTCTCCGTTGAGGCTGGCTGCAGTGATCGAAATTCGGTCTGGAGAACATTATTATTATTATTTTGGAGCATTTATAGAGCATTCTCATCTGTTTGGGCTGAATAAATATATAAAAGGAAATGATAAATAAACAAATATATATTTAATATACTAACATAAATAATTAATATATAAATATTAAAAAGCCCAACCAGATAGAAGCTCCTTGGCAGAGGAGATGAAACGGCCGTGAGTTAGAAGGAAAGTACAATGTGGGCGTTATCAAGGAGCACAGCTTTCCCAATTTGAGCCCGCAGTGGTCCATCACGGAGTCCCAGTCGCCTCAGATGTCACGAGAAGTTAACAGGGATTAGCCTGTTCATAGAGATGACTACATAAATAATTTCATTCGATAGACCACCCCACTGGTCGATCACCTTGTGAGCCAGGTCCAGATATTAAGATTATTGTTATAATATGCAACTGACATTTTATTACTAATATTATTAGGTACATTTGTTCTCTTTTCACTCGGTTTACTTTTTCATTATACTTAAACATTAATTTACTTTGGCGGATAATTAGTGAAACAAATAAATCCATGAGAAAGTAAGAACTATGTAATGAAAATTGGAACAATCTATGGCAGCATAAGAAAACCCTTTTAGCACATGGGTACTGTAAGTGGAGGGGTATTGCCTGCCTCTGCTGCCAAGTAATTGATGTTGATATTTTTTATAAAATAAGGGTGGCAAACAAGCACATAGTCCACCTGATGGTAAGTAGTTGCTGTGGCCCATAGACATCTACATATATCCTCAATAACTAATCAAAATGCAGATGAATTGTCACCTGTGAGAACCAAGATGTAATGCTTCGTTTCCAGTAAAAATGGGTCACCAGCTCTCTACACTCACCATACAAAACAGCAGCATTGAGCTGGTATTCTGTTAGTGTGGTTCTTCCCTGGTCTAAGCCAACCCATTTGTGCTACAACTATACTACTGATATAGCTGCAGCATGGCAGTTTGAAAGCGGCTTGACTCAATGGAAAAGTTGAGAAGTTGTTTTTTTTATAGGATAGGGTGACAAACGAGCTCACAGTCCACCTGATGGTAAGTGGTTGCTGTGCCTCATAGACGTCTATATCTATCCTCGATTATGAATCAAAATGCATATGCATTGTCACCTGTGAGGACTAAGATGGAATGCCTCGTTTCCAGTAGAAAGGGTCTCCGGTTCTCTACACTCACCATACGAAACACAGTAGCATTAAGCTAATATTTTACGCTGGTATTCTGTGATTTCCTTTTATAAAACTCAAAAAATGACAAAAATCTTACAATCCACCTGATGGTAAGTGGTTACTGCGGTTTGTGGACATCTGCAGCTAACTTCAAACAAATACAGATGTGTTCTCAACCAGATCTGAACAAAGCAGTGCAAGTACTGCTACTTAGGGGCATTAATGAGTAAGAGGGTGGTACGTACTACCTGCTCAGACTGACTCCTGGGTAGGAAAATAGTCCTATACCTAATGAAAAAGTAGTTATAGGTGTCCATGACTATTTGCCATCAGGTGGAATGTTAGCTTGCTGTTGTCATTCTTATAGTATTAAAAATAATTTTGAATGTTTTTCTAGTTTTAATAATTTTCTAGACTAATAAACAAAGTTTCTTGTACAGGTACTTGCACAAGAACATGAGACACAAATAGAATCATTGAAAATAGAAAACCAACTGGAGAAATCGAATACTAAAGAACAAACAAAAAGCAAAGGATTGCAAAAACATGAATATGATACTCTTATAAGTCATATATGTTTGCTTAGGGACATTGTATTAGGCAAAAGTAAGTATGCTTTGACTTTTTCTTGATTATCTGTGTTACCAGGCTATATAATGTAAATATGTACACATAAAATCACGAAACTGACTGGTAAAACTGCAATATCTCATCACATTTATTTACTTCGTGTTTTGGCGAGTTTAATGTAAATGTAACCAAAATAATGCAATAATGATTATTGCTTAATATTGACTCAAGACTAGAATAAAACCGTTTTGACTTCTTCTTATGGTTCGTCATCAAGGAACATGTTTTACTAATCGATCGCACGCCGCCAATGAGTGGTTAAAAAAGTAGTTGGTAGAAAAAACACATTGACTGCAAGTTGTGAGCTCATAGTCAATATCAATGGACTGACATTAAGTATACAAAAAACGAGAGCAAGCATAGGCTATGGAAAAAACACAAACAAGTGGGTGTAGAATGCTTAGCAAGTGCAAGCAAATGTTCTTCAAGGCTTGTTTTTTCAATTATCAAGTCCATCCATCCAATCCAATCTGCATTGTATTCATGGATGATATTATGCTGAAGCAGAGAAGTATTCTACTTCTGTAAAATGTCATCCACCGTGATGGATGCAACATTTTCTATTAGTTGTTGTGGTGCTTTGATATAGTTTGCCCAGCATTGTACACGTTTGCTGGTGTTCACTTTATGTAGCAATACTATAATACAACAGCAAAGAGCGATCATAGGCGAACGCCACTCACTTGTCTAGCTCCTTTCCATTCAATGGTCATGTATCTGTCGTGAAGTTAACAACATGACATTTTATGTGGTAGAGTCATGCTGCAGCTATATTGCAGCACGAATGGGTCAGGCTCGACCGGGGAAGGACTACACTATCACAGGATAACAGCTCATTGCTGGTGTTTTTTATATGGTGAGTATAGAGAACTGGATACCCTTTTTACTGGAAATGAGGCATTTCATCTTTGTCAGGGGTGGCAACGCATCTGCATTTTGATTCTTAATTGAGGATAGATGTAGATGTTAATAGGCCACAGCATCCACTTACCATCAGGTGGACAGGTGCTCGTTGTCACGCTTATTTTATTTAAAAAAATTTGAACATATGTCTAGTCTACACATTGTAACCTGCTATTGTTAAAATTTTGCTAAATTGACTCCACATATAAAGCATGTATTTTGCTTCACATAGATGTGATACTGTATGTAATACATAAGCCTAAACTCTTTAAATCCCCTGTTATTGTGGACACTCCTCAATTTTGTTAATTGCTGTGGTACATATTTTGTGATTTTAAATTAATAAATAGAAAAAAATGTTAATTTTATAGGAAAGTTAAATAAGCGTCATAAAGTAATTCTCCAGAAATATGATAAGCTAAAGCCAAATTCTGATGTTGATGATGGCTCTGCATCTGACAGTAGTGTCGGTGACATGGATGACTTTGAACATTCCCTACCATCACCAATGTCTCCAGATATATTATCCAGAAAAAAGGTTGATCAGGTATGTTTGAAATTGTATATAATGTAATACATTTTGTGCGTTTGGCAGAAAAAAGCACTAGCAAGCGCTTGTAAGCAAAATGGCGATCGTAAGCGGTAAGCGCTGTCAAATCGTAGGTAGCTATTTTCCTCTAGGACACGAAGTTAGTTTTAACTGGGGAACCTAACCTAATTTAAATATATGTTTGTAAAGTATTCATATTAAAAACTTACCAATCATGAACTTTTAATAACATGTATATGTCTATTCATGTCATTATATTACTTAAAACTAATATTGCACAAAACAACTTATAAACTCTACTTCAAAACAAACAAATTAAATAAGCAAAATGGCGGATTGTGTCAGCGCTACTGAAGTTAGCAAACGTGTCCTGGCCGAAAACTGTTTAGTTTCGCCATTTTGCTTACAAGCGCTTGCTAGCGCTTTTTTCTGCCAAATGCACCCAATATAGTACATTAATTTGATGTGTCATGTAATGAGAGCTAATAATTTTCCGCTCACCAGATGTCGTCAGTTGACAATGAGGTAAAGTTTTTAAAACTATACCTCAGTTGTTTTTTGTTACAAGTTAGTTTTAAATAAAAATTTATCAGCTTCTAGAGTATTATATTAATACACAAAACAATGACTCATTGATTTGCTCTTTAATTTTCTGCACATTTTTTACTCTTTTTTTTAATTTGTTTACTTTTATGATTATTCTGTAGTTTAGTTTATTTATTTTTAATGTACTTAATATAAAATATAACTAATAATAAAGAAGGAAACATTAACCTTTACATTTTTCAAACAAATTAACTCCCCCGCTATGAGTTCTGTTAAGGAGATATAGTAAGTCAGCTCAAATTCTAATTTCGTCCCCACTTGCCCGCGCGTCTTATGCTATGTACCGACATGTTTGTAATCACTAATACTGTAAGTAGAAAGGTCGTTGACACTTATTTCCTTAGGTTTATCATATTTATGCCTGTTTCTTAACGCCAAGCCAGTCGCTTCTTATTTTTATTACGGTTATTTCCCATTTTAATTTTACGTCGTCCTGTTGTGTAATGTATTTCTGATCGTAAGCGACACAACCTCCCCCTTCAGAGGCCGAAGCGAAGTGACCGGGCGGCAGGAATCACGCTTCAAGAGGCCGATAGTTTAGGTAATTTCTTTTTACAGTGAAAATAATGGATTAAAAAAAAGTAAATAACATAAGCACTGCTTTATAGTTAGTTCAGTTAGTATGCAAAGTTTCATGATCTTATTTAAAGTATTTTATGAATAACAGCGGTTTATTGTTCATTTTGGAGGTAACTTTGGATTTTTTTTCTATCGAAAAATTTTTACGAAATCGTGTTTTCCTCTAACATAATCCTTTAACATTAATCCTCAACTTTACCACATATTTATTTCAAAATTAATGCGGCAATATTTTCGGCATAACGAAGGATCTTGCTAAGCCATTTGAGGTTATATTTCCCCTTAAATATTAAATCTCATTTTAAGTGGCGCCGCCCTGGTGGCAGAACAAGTCGATATATATAATATATATGTATATATATATATATATATATATATATATATATATATATATATATATATATACCAACATGTAACATAATTAACGCACTTTGAGAAAGTAGTTTGTTCAGAATCGTTTACTGAATCGATTCCTATCATTTTTAATATAGGTAATTTTTATCCCAAAAATAATTAAAACTACGTAAATTACAGTCACACTAAATCTGTACAGTCAAAACAAACTGAAATGGACCGTAACTTAAGGCAATAAGACTTAAGAGTGCAGTTTTATTTGTATTATTACTAATTCTGTCATTCAACAAAAATAAAGAAAAATGAACTTTATTTCAAGCACGTATAACTAATTTGATAAATAACTAATCAGAGCATAAAAATGTTGAACTAAAAATTCAGTGTATGTGTTATGATTATAACATAATATACTAATTGGGGTGTCTTTTTTTTTAACATGGGGAAATGCCTACGCATACCCGCCTCGCGGGGGCAAGGACGGGTCATGTCGGACTCGCACCGACTAAAACCCCATGGTGTTCCACCTTCGTCGCATATTGGCAGGGCTACGGGAACGCTTTCGCACACTTCCGCGGCCCTACCAGCGACTGCCGCCCCATGGCAGCACCTCCTCGGGAGAGGAATATTCCTCCCCGTTCTCCTTCCCAAGTAAGGCGCACCAGAACACATGGCACGCCTTCCTCCACGGCCTCCAATTGCATCTGCGCAACAGACGCCCCCGCGTCCGATGCGCGAAGGCCATGGGGCCAGGAAAAACGAGCACTTAGAAGTACTAGCCTTCCCGACCCCAGCGGCGGATCTGGTCTATGGCTCCGCCGCCAACCAAGATTCGCCTGCGGAGGATAGGGAGAGCGGCGCCTCGCAATACCGACAATCCTCTCCCCCCGCAGCCCCATCACCACCGCATCAACGGTGCGGCCCCGTTTGAGTCGCGGAGGATAGGGCGAGTGGCGCATCGCCATACCAACACACCTCTTCCTCCGCGACTCCACCTCGGCTGCAGCGGTAGAGGGTGCGGAGTCCCCACTCGCTCAGTCCACCAGCACACATCCGAAGTGGGCTCCCCAAGCCCACTCGGAGTGGCCACCTCAGGCCGGCCCTTCACTTCGGGCCAGCCACGTGGGTTCCTCTTTGTTCACCGTGGGAGACCAAGCCACAGCTACTAAGCCACCCCGCCACGACAAGGCGGGAACCCGTTCGGGGGGAATTGGGGTGTCTGCGGGTGTGCGTTAGTTACGTTACATATTATACAGTGTGTAAGTGTAAATACCGTTGTCACTGAAACCATAGGTGGTTGGCTTTAATATAAAAATATTTATCCGATTTTTTTTTAAAACGCTATTTTCTTTTATAAAATTAAAAAAGTTTCTGTCCGACACCGTCCGTAAATTCATGGATACCCTATGCGCTCGAGTGACGTATTCACTGTAAAGATCACCGCCCGCCCTTGCTACCTACACAACATTTCAATATAAACACAATGGTACACATAACCTATCAGGAAACTTTTCCTTCATACTTTCACACTTGCTTAGGACAGATAAAAATTCCTACCCTTTGTGTTGCGTGACGAGTCCAAATTAATGTAAGTTAGATTTAACAACAAAGAAAATTAAACATTAATAATAGTAAATAGTAAATCATTAGGTAGGATTTTTGGCGTATTTACCGTATACCGTACCGCGGCCCTGGAACGCAAAGGGCATTTGAAGCATAAGCTGACCGTTCATTGCACGGAAAGATCATACAAAGCGAGGCCAAGACAAAGGATTTGTACAGCTTGATGTGTAGCCTGATTGATGGTTATTTACACTTACCTATTAAATAAAATCCTCGTAAATGAATTCCATTTTGATCAGCTTTTACATTAATCGTAAAAGCTAGAAGCACAACAGTGTCATTTCTCTAAATACACTAAGAATTCGCCTTTTGAGTTCGGACGTATTACGGAACTTAGTTGCATACACTCGGCGCTTCACTTCTCCCCAAAGATAAAAGTCCAGCGGGGTAAGGTCGGTTCATCGCCCAGGAAACTCCTCAACCAAAACTACAACCTAAAGCGACGTAGAATGTCGGCACTGCGCGGCGCGGTTTTAAATCAAATTAACACGTACATTCCGCACCGACGCAGCGAAGGTGACTGACACACTGACACAGTGACATTGGCCTTGACCGCGAATCGCTGCCGCTACCTACGATATGTTGAGTTTTTTGTTGTGAATTCTGTAGGTATATCCCTACTTACCTAGGGTGAAATAATTGTAAGAAAAGATTGAGATTTGACTAAAAAAAAATGTTGTTTTTCATTGAAATTACTTTCTATAAGTGAAACCAAACCACTGGTTTCAAGGACAACGGTGTTTACACTAACACCCTGTATATATATATATATATATATATATATATATATATATATATATATATATATATATAGAGCAAATTGGATTATATTAACATTTACATTTAATAAATGAAATTACATGAAGGAAGTTAATATTGTATTATCCTTTTTTAGGTACAGAAAACTATTTCTAAGAACTTGGAGAAGAACATAAATAAGGGTAAGTCAGAAAAAGTCCGATACAATAAGGAGTATTTATTAATAATTATAATTTTGTAAATCTTGCCTTTTGCCATGTCTTGTTAGCAATTAAATCAAGTACGGTGCGCAGGGCTGTAACTTCATAGTACCAGATATATTTTTACGTTTTACTTAGGATATGTTCCAAAATAGAACCCAGTGTACTGTTCAATGCAAATGAAGTCATGAATCGACGCCATACTGGTGATTCGTTCCAAAACATAGGGCAATATATGACGTCATACATTTGCGCCATATTCGAAAAGTGTTGACGATTATTTGTCTTTTTGTGCTCCAAAAAAAATTATATCCTCCTAATAGAAATACCAGCAATTATTCTATAATTTTTGTATTTGAATAAATAAAAACAAATTCTGGCAATCTGTATTCAGTGTACACACAATTAAAAATTGTTTTAATATGGCCGGATATCCGACACAATTTGGCGGCGGCACGCCACTACAATATGGCGTCAATTGATGACGTCATTTGTATTTGGCAGTATACTGGAAAAGTTTGGGAACATACCCTTATTATAAGCCAGTGCTTGACTACAACGCCACCTGCTGGTAAGTTGCGATGATGCCCAGTTGCCCAATCGTTCAACTTGTTGAAACTAACACATTCATAACAGTATCAACTTAATATCTTTGTAATTGTATAAAAATTAATTTTTTTGACTAATAACTTTTATAACTATTAAATAAATTCAAGCTTTATCATCATCTTTACACGCTTTCCGTATAGGATGCGCGAATGTGTTGCACGGAGGGCAACACTTTTTGTTAACGATTTCACATTTTGTTAACACTAATTCACTCCTCATCTAATTAGCGTATCATGTGCTATGTGTGAAAATCGATTCCTAAGGTGTAAACTCCAATTATATAAATTTTTCCAGAGACAACCAACAAAAGAATTGATGGTGATCAGGATTCAGATTCGTGTAATGAAATCATAAGTGAAGACACAGGTCGCGGGTCATCACTAGCTAATTCAGATATCGAAAAATGTTTAAACAGTCCAGACTACTATATAAGTGATAGTCCATTTAGTAACGTAACCCAAAAAGACAAAAAGAACTATTCTGATGCTGCAACAAGTCCAATAACAGTAAATAAAGAGAGGATTGAAATAGCTACCAGCCCCATACCGTTTACAGACACCCTATTCACTAGCGTTCACAAGAACAAAATAATTACTAAGGAGATAGGAATCACAGTAGACTCTAGAGAATTTATTTTCAGTAAAAGTGTGTCTACTAGTCCTATAAGTAACCGACAACAACAAATTAAAACCCGTCCTGTAGATTTCGATAAACTAAATTCTGAAGTTGATATGAACAACACACTCGATTATTTACCAAAAGACCCAGAGTGCTTGGAATTGCATACTCGTAGTGCATACAAAAACCATGTAACAACCAAAGAGATAGGAATTTCAGTAGATTCCAGGGAATTAATTACTAGTAAAAATGTTGGCACAAGTCCTATAGGTAACAAACAGCAAGAAATAGCAACTAGTCCTGTAAATTTCGCTATACTTCATTTTGACAGTGATATTAAGAACTCGCATGATCATTTACCTAGAGAGCAAGAATGTGAGGAAATGCGTACTTCAAGTGCATTCAAAATCCATGTAGCAACCAAGGAGATAGGAATTGAAGTAAACTCTAGTGATTTTATTGTTAGTAAAAATGTAGCCACAAGTCCTGTACGAAATAGACCGCGAACAATATCAATGAGCCCTGTGGACTTTGTTGATTTTTGTATTGACAGTGATATGAATAACTCGCGTGATGATCTAATAAAAGAACAAGATTTGTTTGAAATGCATACTTGGAGTACATACAAAAGCCGCGTAGCAACAAAGGAAATAGGAATTTCAGTAGACTTTAAAGATTTTGTCGATAATAAGAGTAATACCACGAGTCCCACGAATAACGGACAACGAGAAATGGCTACTAGTCCTGTAATTTTCAACGAACTTAGTTCTGAAAGTATTTTGAATAAGTCAAATGATGTTTTACCACAACAGCGAGAAAGTCACAAGAGCGCATGCAAAAATCAAATAGCTACCAAGGAGGTAGGAACCGCAGCTGAATTCAGTGATTTTATTAGCAGTAAAGATATTGCCACCAGTCCTATTAGTAGTAAACATCGAGAAATAGCAACTAGCCCTGTAGATTTTTATGAGTTTTGCTCCGACAGTGAGATAAACAATTCTTGTAATAAATTATCTAAAGAACGGGAGTGCTTGGAAATAAATAACAGTAACATTTTAAATAATAACCATTCTTATGATCGTGAAGTAGAAAAAATTTTAACTGCAATGCGATTTGATTACGAAATAATAACGCCTATACCAATCTCTCCGGCAATTGCACGAAACACGGAAAAAAATCAAAACACCCAAGATTATGTATGTCAGGACGCTGCAAAAGTTGGTAAAGAAAATGCAATATTGAAAGCAACTATGACTGTATTAGCAAAAGAAGTACAAAACGTTAAAACTTTACTTCATAAACATTTACGGTTAAATGATGAAGAAATTCAAAACCCAAGTCAATATTGCAATAAAAATGATACTTCCATAAATTCAGTTCCTTTAACTAAAACTCCTGAGAATATTTTTGTAATAAACGAAATAGTTGAAAATACGTCGGAAAATTCAAATATCACAGTTGACATTAACCAATTCATGATACCAGAGTTAAAGAGATCGTTAAATATTGATGACACTCAAGATCGTTTAGAAAGTATTTTTCAAAATAATACTAGTGATCTTAGAGACGAAATAACTAACAAAGATCATTTACATAAATCGCCGACAAAGACTATAGAGAAATTAAAAAGAGCTAAGAAGTTGACTCGATTAGAAAATTTGAGGAAAAAATTGATTCCTCAAAGTAAGATTAGAAGAGCGAAAACACCACCAATCAGACAATTGAGGAGGAAAAAACAACTATTAGTTAAGAAAAAATTTTTTGAGAAATGTACAGCCGTAAATAATAAAATTGCATATGAAAATGCTGTTAAAATAATGGCTGAACTAAAGTCAAAACAAAAGGATAAAAGCAAAGATATTTCCATTGCAGGGGATGTAAATACAACTAATGATTCTATAAAAGACAATTCAAATGAAAAACGTAACAGCAAAGATATATCCATTTCGGGAGATGTAAATACAGCCAATGATTGTAAAAAAGACAATTCAAAAGAAAATAATAACAGTAGAAATATATCCATGGATTCAAGGAAAACCGACGATTTTAATCAGGACTTACATCTAATTCCTACAAATAAAGATAGTCCTCTATGTGATGTCGAATCTACGAATCATGTAATTGCTCTAAATGAGACAACCCCTGAGGTTGGTATTAGGCCTGTTAAAGATTCTCCTCTTAAAAAAAGTTATAATATAAATGTCGATCCACAACATTCCATCTTGCTACCAAATTCAATAACTACGAGGAGCCGGAGTAAACGTTTGTCATCATCACAATTAAACGAACCGGAGACTAAAGAACATGTGGCTATAACATCTGATATGTTACTCCAAGATAAAAGTCCTACTATAAATAATGATACTAAAAATCGCAGGCGACTGAAACGCGTTGCGTCGGATCAATTAGAAGTTACAACAAAACGAATATTACGAAGTTCCAATGTAGTACACATTTCGAACATCGGAGATCGGACAATGAATAATAGTGATATTGAAAATAGTATAATGACTCCAGATACGAATTCTCAAATCTGCAAAAGGAGGAGGTCTAGTCGCCTATCAACTACGCAGAAAAATGAGGAAACAAGTACTATTAAAGATACTGATGCTCAAAAATTAACTGAAATTGTTACTTACAGTGATCTTGACATCTTTATTGGAAATAGTTCGACATCTAAAAGCTGTAAAAATCAATCAAGTATTCCTGATAAATTATATGATCCTAAAGAAAGCATATTATGTCGTATGTTAGAAAAGTATGCAAGATATTCAGTCAAGTGCAATGTGAAGAAAATTCCAGGTGTGGTTTTTTTAATCCTTATATTTATAATATAGTTAACATTTACTTAAATGTCTAAATCTTTTTTTTTATTTGATATTTTTTTAGATAGTGCAACAAATAGTATCTGCAGTAAATTGGAAGAAGGCATTGCTCATATATTAACAGTTCCTCTCCATGAAACAAAAAATGCTATGAATAATTTTGTCAACGAAATACAAAATTGGAATGTGCGAAACTTTATGGCTGGATTCATGAAATATCTAAAGGATCCTGCTCGTAAAGACGAACTCTTCAACAAAGTTCACTCGCCGCCTGCGCCTCATATGACAAAATCTGAACAAGTTCTGATATACATTTTAAAGCAGTTACAAGCTCTTTGGCCTTCAGTTGACCTTGTTAAAGTTGTTTTCTCTAACATTGAATTTGCATTATTTCAGTTGAATCATGCACCCGAATTTAGTACAGTAGAGAGTCTTTCTCATTTCTATGCAGTCCTTTGCAGATATTTTAGAGCAAAGAGTCGCTTACGACTTTTCATTTTAGATGCTATGTACTGTATGCAGTATAAATCAGTGGCTGTAATAAAGCAGTGCTTAGATGTCTGGATGCATGTTTTACCTTTGGCACATATGGGCATAGGTAATCAATAAAATATTTTTTTCTATTATAGTATGTAATATAACTTGGCAATTACTAAGTGTTGTTAAATATTCTATTTTCTTACAGCAAAAAGTCCACTAGTTACCTGTTTAGTTTATCTTCTACACTTTTACAAATGTGAGGATAAATTTAATAGGGTGCAGGACATAAGAGAAATATTGAGCCGGAAATATTTTTACAAAGTTACAGACTGGACAGAAACTAAGATTTTAGAAATGTTCAAAAATGCAATAAAAGAATTACGTGGTATGTATATGACACTTAAAGTTCAAGGAGAATATGTTGCCTAAAGGTTAAGGATGGATGGATGGAGGATATTTCGAAGTTCGAATCCGCCTTTTGACTACCGTCGTGAACCACTCCTACTCAAACGTTTTGAAAAAGTTTATTATAGTGTCTGTTTGAAATGTTAAAATAACAGTTTTTACTAAATGCATATGAAAGTATATACGGTACATACTTAAAAAACTTTAAAACACCATCTAATACTTTTAAGCAATTTCTTGGTACCTTTGGTATTATTTGTTGTTAAATTAGACAAGACTTACTACACAGTAGCACACTGATTTTATACATAACTTCAAAAGAAAGTATCTTCATATGTCTTAATGTTAAATTCGGTGCTTGGCAAAAAAATTATTCCTCCTTCACAATAGGGGTGAGGCAGTGCAAGTTTCATAAACAGCGCAATTCAGTAGCTAATTCCTTGTCGAAATCTCTTATTCCTTTGCATATAATTTTTTTTTTCCCAGTTTCTGATTGAATATAAAATTAATGTAGCAATTTCAAGTGACTTTAAGTCTGATAATAAATGTATTATAATGACCTCAGATTTAATTACAAATAGGATAGTCTTGGTTGACCTCAACTAAATATGTTATTTGATATCCTTTTTTTTCTAGATTATTTTAAAAATTACAGCAGTAAGATGCCAGAATAGTAAAATTTCATAGAAACATCCTAATTTAATCTTTTATTTTTTTCTTATATAAAGAGAAAATATTACACGCCACATTGCGCTAGGCATTTTTACAGGGGTCGTTTTACCTATAAAATTGCAAAAGTACAAACCTTTCAAATCCAAAACATTAATTAATTGTGGGCCATTATAATAGTTTAACCGATAAAATCGAACCTGCAGCCCATAGCACCACAGTCAAACCAGCCCTTATGTGCAATAATGACATGAGCGAGTGGTCTTATACGCCGTTACTGAGCATGAGATCGTGGGTTAGAATCCCGGATTGGACCAAAACCAGTTATTGAGTTTTTCTGTCAAGTAATTCTCAGTAGCAGCCTGGAGCCAGGAACCTGACAGTTGTTTCACCCCTACCCTGCCCTACCCTGTCTCGGACAGCACATAAAGTGTCGGATTACTGTCCTATATTATATATTTTGATGTCTAAAGCACAATATTTGCATTATATTTTACTTCAAACAAAGTAAGTTTTATTACATAGAATTTTTCAGACCCAATAAACATATTCTTTATCTCATTTTTTTCAGATGTACCTATTGAAAAGAAAATGTTGAGAATGTCTCTTATTATCCTTGCAAAACGCAGAGGGCCACAGTGGTGTCAAAAGAATTTAGTTAAAAACATGTTACAACCAATTATAGAAAAAGAAGATGTCCCAGATAGAATTAGAGAGTTTTCTGTATCAGTGTTAGGACCTTTGTTAAAGCCCTATCCTAACGATATGAAAGTTCATTGCGAAATTATTGTTAATCAATTACTAGATATGTTGGAATGCAGTGGTATGTATTTGTGTTACCTTAATTAATTCATTTTTTTAGATATAGTGTGTGAATGTAATGATATGACATGACATGCAAGCACAACCAAGTGTCAGTACTCTTTTGGTTCAGATTTCAGACTGTGAAAAACTACTAAATTAGTCTTAGGTTCGTATCCGCCATGCGACTACTTTATTAGAAAAAAAATTACTAAGCATAGGCGTTTACAACTCGTTTGGAACCTTGGTAGCTCAGGGGTTAAAACTCATTTAAATTTTAAAGTATACAGGCAACCTGAGTTCGAGCCCCACTGGCACCAATGAAATTGTTAATTCAATTTTTGAGTGTTGATTTATCATGTGCTTGGAGGTGTTGGAAAACATCGCATTCGTAAACATGTGAAGTCCGCCAACAGGCCAACACGAACTGGAGTAGTGTGGCGGTCCAATCTCTCCATAACCCTCAGGAATGAGAAGAGGCTTGTGTGTGCTGCTGTGTGTGTTTTTATAGGCTGTAATTCTACTAATACCATTAGTATTAAAAAACAATTTTGCGTTTCTAGTTCCAGATTAAGAGCTTTCTTTTTTACAACGCATTTTAGCGTTTATCGTTAAATCTAACGCCGCTGAAGTGATGCAGTAAAACTGTGTTGACATTGTTTCATTCATTTATAAGTTGGCAGCCATAACTTTTTTAACTATTATTTTATTGTTATCAGGAAAAGGGTCCTGCCTATCCCCCTTAGTTACCCTCTGTCTAAACTCCGATTAGTTATAAATATGGATTTAAAACGGTTGTAAAATACCTACATCGGCGACGGGAAACAACGCCTACCATGTAGAATGGTTACGGCAAGTCCTCTTGTTTGGGCAAGACTCATATCTAGTATCGTTGATGAGTAGAATATTCTGATATATAAGTCACAGTTAAAACTTATTCAATTCACACAAGTTTTAAGCTCTTATAAACGTCAAAATCTACACCAGAATTGGCAACAAATTGGGGTCTTTTTTTAAAGTTGTGTTACCATCTAATTCTCAATAATTACTATAACAGTAATGTCCACGTTAGTAAATATTTTTAAATTAACGGTTTTAATAAAAAAATTACATCAGTAGCCAGGGAGGGGATTTGTAAATGTATCGCAATAGTTATTTTCCACACATCTTGTCCTCTATATATTGGTCTATTTATTTATAGAAGTATATTTTAACATTCCTTTTTAATTTTGTATCTCATTGCTGTGCTATATTTTAACACGTTTTTCTTAAGTCACTTTTGGCTGTCTGTCATTCTGGGTGAAATCTTACAACTCTAATCCCAAGCACTTCCCGATGAGCTAAACTTGACATTTTGAACATAGATAGCTCAGAATCGGATGACAATGTAGGAATATGCGGAAACGTGGATAACATGGTATATTATTTTTTTAGTACAAAATTTAAACAAAGTCGGTAATATGGTTAACCCTACAATCTGTCCATTCCTGCTATGTTCGATCTCAAAACGCTCGACAAATATTTTTACGAACTAATAGTTAACTCATTACATCAAAAAAGATCCGAGCAAAAATTTCGGAATTATTAAAAAAAATTGAAATTTTTGAAAACGATAACATTTGAACGGATCAATCGATTTTAATGTAATTTGTGGAAATTAACAAGGTATTTTAATAGCAAATATAGTGGGGAAAAGTCCTTTCTTTTGACTTTAAATAATAATGAAGTATCAGCAAAAAGTACTATCTCAGACATTTTTTGTACCATCTATGAAGGCCATTAATAGAGACCAAGAACAAAAAATAACCAAGTATTTACTCTGAACGAACGTGGGCACAGTTTATTTAAGGGCTAAATATGGTGTACTGTCTATTGATGTATCTTTATTTACGTGTTATATTGGCCTCTATCAATTTTTTTTAAACGCAGTTTAAATAGGATGTAACAACAACGCAATAAATGACTTATTGTAGAATTTTGGTTGCGCTAATAAAAAATATTTTTGCAGTTTCACCTCGTATGAAAGAAGCCATTTTCACAACTTTATTGTATATGAAAAGGCACAACCAAACCCGTGTTACACAAGCATTACTGTCATGGAATCCTCAACATGTATCTCCGGAGCTCGAAGAATTGTTGAAAGATTATGTAAGAGAAAAACCTTTTAAAGTATGGAGAAATACGTTATCAAGAATATCAGTCACTTAAAAAGTATTTTTTGCATTACTGTCATGGAATCCTCAACATGTATCTCCGGAGCTCGAAGAATTGTTGAAAGATTATGTAAGAGAAAAACCTTTTAAAGTATGGAGAAATATATTATCAAGAATATCAGTCACTTAAAAAGTATTTTTTGCATTGTATAAATTATTATTTTAACAAAACGAAAACTTGTACATAATTATGTAGCAAAATAAAATTTAGCCTTAAGTTGTAAATATTGAAGTTTTACAATATTAATCTAGGTCTTGCTTAGGTTTTTGTATCAATACACTTAGTATGGTCACTTATAAGTAATTATATTATTAAGCGTATTTCTGTTGTTTAAATTTAAATATTTGCTAAATTGTGTTGTGTGATGTGTAATTTAACAGGTACAACCCTATCTGTAAGCATCGGAATGCTTTTGATGATTTTTTATTACAATATGTTCGGTTAGCGGGTCTATGTTTTGTATTTATAGTTTTAATAATGTAAGAGCATTTATATATTTTTGACAAATATGACGATTTCATACTGAGAAATATTACGTTCAAAATAACAATTTTATATTATGTTTAATAACTCCAGTCTGCCTACGTTCGTGCTCATGACTGCCTTTTTGGTCTCGTAGTTGTAGTAGTACAACTGGAGATCATGAGGTGGGTTTGAATCCCGGGACTGATCAAAAAAATCGGTTTGAGTTTTTTCCGTCAAGAAATTCTCAGTAGCCGCCCACAGTCAGGAAGTTGGCGGTGTCTCAGAAACGTGCTTCGGAAAGCAAGAAAAGCCGTTGGTCCTGCGCCTTTCTCTCCGGTCGTGTTGGTTTACCGTCCCATTTGACTATGAGAGTGAGGGAACGGAAAGTGCACCTAGCTATGCTTGCGCATATACTTGGGCACTATAATCCTTTCTTGCGTCGATGGCTAGTCTCTGTGGAGGCTGGCCGACATTAAAATAACCGCACCCCAACTTTGACCATCTAAACTTAAAAATTTTAAGTTTTGTTTATTCAGCAAGTTTTATCATCAAAATATTTCATGAATTTGTAAGGTATTATTGTTTGTAAAACTGATATTATTTGTTTCGTTTGATGTAATGCTGTTACTGTTTACATCATTCTTTTTCTTCTATCTAAAAAGTAATTATGTCGATCCTTTGATATCACCTAGAGGGGTAGGCAGAGACTATTGACTTCCATTTGGCACGATTCTGATACATCTATCTTGTTTCTTTCACATTCATATATATATCTATACCTTTATGGTTCGTCCAAATCCGAGAAAATGCGATTCTCGCTTGTACATTTGGTATTCGAAAGTTTTGGTCAATCTTAGTGCTGTATGGTATACAGCACTTATGTTCACAGTATGCCATGTCAACCGCCGTCTACTTACGGCAATTTTATTATTCGTACAAAGACGCGTGAAAAATAGAGTTCCGGATACACCACCACCAACTCGCTTGATGACTCGGATTCCAATCGGAAGAAGTACGTAAGCGTTAATACAAATAATGCTGCGGTAACGTCAGTCTATGAATATTATTATCCGAACTAGTGATATTGTCGAAAAGTAACTACGGCTTCTAATTTTTCGAAATAGGATTTTTGTACACTGCAACAAAGAGAATCACTATGGTGTACATTTAATTTGGTCCATTTTCATTAAATCGCTAATGTGGTCAATAAACTTTGTCTAAGACGTTTATTTATTCATCATCATCATCATTACAGCCCTTCACAAGTCCACTGCTGAACATAGGCCTCCCCCCAGTAACAGCCAGTCCTGAGCCACCTGCATCCATCGACTTCCTGCATGTCTTGCCAGGTCGTCACTCCATCTAGTGGCGGGTCGCCCTACACTACGCCTACTGGTACGAGGCTGCCACTCGAGAACCTTTCTTCCCCATCGGTTATCGGTTCTTCGAGCTATATGGCCGGCCCATTGCCACTTCAGCTTACCAATCCGTTTCCTTATTCCATCCGTTGGTCCGTTTATTTATTTGAGGGCAACCTAAAATTGAAATTGTAAAGTTACGAAATCTTCTTTTGGATTTATATAAATGCCCGTTACTACACAAACAATAAATTAATAAATTTAAATGGTTTACTGACAAGTTCCGATGTTTGCAGAATGAGGCTAAGACATAGATTTAAATATTACATGTACCGGAGCTCAGTGCTAGAATATTTATGGTTATACTTTCTGTGATTTATGTGAGAACATAAGAATAATAAACTTTGGAATTTTTAAATCTCTATTATTTCTGGCCAGTGTTGTATGTTATGTCGCCAAAGATTTAAAAGGTGTTGATAATAACAGAGATGAAATAAAATTCTCATGAAAGACGATCAATTCATGTCATGTTAAAGGGGCAATTCGGTGATCATTTCGCTGAACAAATCAAATGATTTGATCAAATTCATAACTAAATATATGAAATAATAAAATAAATGTCAGTATCATACATTACTGTATAGGTACTAGCTAGAGAGTCAGTACCTTTGAGCATAGAAAACAGAGGAGATCAAGCCTACAAGAAATTCATGTCAAATTAAAATAATAAATGGCCGAGGCTGTAAGCTCCGCCCATTTTTTAGTGATGTGAAGACCTATGGTGAAGAAAATCAACTTTTGATAGCTATATGTATTTTATTTATTTATAATATGTAAAATTATATTTTCTCTAACGATTAGCGAGCCACGAGAATTTTGGCGAGAATTTAACCGCCAGCGTATTGTTGCTCCTGTTTTATCGGTTAAATAATAGCTTGAATATGATTTTGATACGTAATGCACGGATAGTAAGTTGTGCCTGTAAGTTAGTCAGCTAGTTACTCTGGCTACATATTGTACAGAATAAGCTTTATTTTTGGGCTTTAAAGTACTATCTAAAGCCAGGATGAGGCTCTATATGTGAGCTAGTAACACCCCTCATAATTTTTACTATTCTGGCTTGTGTACTAGCTTTGTGTAACTGATTAAGCTAGTATCTTTTTGAAGTGAAAACTACTTTGGGATTGCTGTGATTTGAAAATTATATTTTACGCCGCACTTGTGATTGAAAATTATCATATTAAATAAGTAATTTGCAGTGAAATATTTTTATTTAGCATGGGTGATTTTAGGATTTTGGCATCAAAATCACACAAAAAATTTCATAAAAATCGATCCAGCCCCCAAGTGATCAACCGCTAGTATGCGGCATTTGTTTTTTTTAAATAGATCTAATTTCGTTCGAAAGTTTCACTTACACCGCATGTGAACTCCTTTTTTTAGTTACAGTACTCCATGCTGATCGTTAGTGTGTAGTGAGAATGCGTTTTTTTTTTCTTCGTGATACTCATTCACACTACCCAACACTCGTATTTTTAGGATTTAAGGGTACACTAGTCGCTTATTCTTCCATACAAACGTAGTCCGGCGATTACTCCACTGTTTGATGGTGTACGTTCAAAATAAAAATGATTTCAATTTGTCTCATCATTATCTAGCCCTGTATGGAAACAAAAAAGTAAAAAAAGAGTATGTTTAGAAGTTATAAGCGTCGAAAATTCCGAATTTCAACACAAGTTTTAACACATCTTTGGGCGGATATAAATACCATAAGAAGAACGAAAATTGCAAAACAGTTACGATACAGGGATAGATTAGTTGTTCAAAAATGCAAATAATTTTATTTTAAAGAGATACATTCAATAGATTTTTCGTGACATCCAGACTACCAAAGGTCTGTTTATAAAATTTCGCGCGCCCGTTTTTGTTATAAAACATCTTGCCTTTCGCTACAAATTGTTTCCCCGATCAGCGGGACGGACGGAGGGGGGCCGCAGCGCGCACTCACACATACTCACTAGGTTAGCCGCTGCTATCTATTTATGGTTGTAATACCTACATATCTACATCTTTATTTAGAAAAATTGCTTACCTTTTGTTCGTGTCCATTGCTGAAGCCGGGATGAATATAGCTGCTAAAATGTGCCCATAAGTTTGTTGAAGCACATTTAGTTAAAATTGAAAACAGGTAGGTACATAATAATGAACTTTCGATACAGGTAGTACATTAGGTACTTAACTACTTTAATTTGCTTACTAACGAAAACTTCTCATAGATAAGCACGATTATCGAAAATCTTAAAATTATCTATTAATTTAATTAGAATAGGTAATTTTTAGATTTTCGATAATCGTGCTTACGTATAGGAATCTCATATCCTAATATACCTAATGTAATTTATGTAAGTACATAATAATCTAAGAAGAGCAGTCAATGATAAATAAAATGTGTTTTGTAAGTTGTTTTTTAAAAACACTTTAACACAACAAAAACATGAAACTGAGAAGAAGCACCCGATCTGCCGAAACAAACTCAGAGAGGTCAGTCCAGGTATTGCATTGGTCATGTCATACGAGAACCATGCTAATATGGTCCTTTGAAGAAAGAATCATACAGATGTGAGTGGACAACTTAGTACTTTTTAGGATTCCGTACCCGAAGGGTAACCAGCAGGACCCTATTACGGAGCCTCCGCTGTCCGTGTGTCTGTCTGTCAGCGGGCTGCATCTAATGATCCGTAATAGGTAGATGGTTGTAATTTTGACAAAAAGTGTATTTCTGTTGCCGCTATAACAGCAAGTGGTAAAATAAATTTGAAATTAAAGGATTTTCTACTAGAAAAAGAAACGTATATTTTTGGCTTTTTTGATCGATAGTAATATGTATAGGTATTTAAATCTTGTAATCTCGGAAGCTCGGAACTCCGATTCGCACTTGGCAAAATACTTGTTTATATTTAACCTTACCTCAGACATACTCATATTTTTTATATATAATTTACTATACTACTATATAAGCTACTACTAAATAAAATAGTAGTAGCTTTGCTATGGTATTATAGTATATTTTGGATTACATTTAATTTATTACAGATAATTATTTATTACACATAATACGAACTATATAAAAACTAAGGAGCGCATCAACCTACCTTAGATATTGGGTTATGA